CCTCCAATAACAATTCCTTTCATCACAGTCCTTGTTGTAGTTATTGTTGTCGAAATTATTGGATCATAACTCTTAGGCATCGAAGAGGGAATTTGAGTAGATTTGACTTTACCCACTACCTTCACATCCTCACTAGTTTTCCACGAACCACCTTCTCCCTTATCTAATCTTGAACCCATGCCAACACCTTTCCGTTCTCCCCCTTACACCCCTATGTAATCAGGTGGGACATCTGTTGTCATAAAATTAAGAAACTTCACAAGTGGGGCCAATTCATTGTGAGTTGTGGGCTCCAAAAAATGAAAATTTTGATTCAAGAATCCTGGGTAAGAAATGATGACGAAGAAGAACCAGACTTCGAAACTAAGTCTTTCAAATCTACCAGCAAGTTATCAAATTTCTCAAAACGTTGTGCATCCACCTCAACTTTCTTGTCAACCTTGGAAATCATGGAATTGTACCATTCGACAACTTTTGTAACAACATCAACAATTATAGCAACCTTACTGTGAGCAGAAGAATAATTGTGATAAAAAGCTGCAACCTCCTTCGCCATATCAACACGTAATTCCTTGATTTTGAGATTGAAATTTTCTCGAACAGTCTTCACATCTTTCATAAACAGAACATGCCTTTCGTGGGCAACAAATTTCAGTTCTTTAAGTGCTTCATTACAAGTTGAAGACTGGTCTTTAACATGATTCTCATTATTCCTGTCCATTTGCTCCAAGTCATTCCTTAATCGAAACTTTTGTGCCTTTAACATAACACCAACTTCGATTCCTGACACATAATTTCTACCCCCTGCATTCGCTTGAAGCTGTAATAAGGAGTTAAGTTTCTTGTTGAGATTCTTAAACTGCATCCCAAACTCGATATCAGCAAATGATCCCATAAATTCACCATCATCATCGGCATCATCTTAAACTGTTTTTGGATCGTCAATGGATTAAGATGGGAATAAGGAGGTAATGGATTGATTGCGGATGTGTTTAAATGCCAGTGATTGTGAAGGTTGAGGTAAAGTAGTAGAAGTTAAAGTATGGAATGGTGATAAAGAAGTCGTAGTGTCAATGATTAATATGCCAAAGGTTGATGAAATGATAAGAGAGTATATACCTTGAGCTTTTGAGTTCGACACTCCATCACTCATGTTGACATTTACGTCTATATGAGATATGTCCACATTGATGTCTGAAGTTCGAACCTCCTCATTAAATGACTCAGTATTTGAAACTCCCGGTGGTGTGATAATGGTCTGATCAGGAGTGGAAAGATGCGAATCACCTTGAGTAGTGGTTGTGTCCATAAGAGATGCTTTCACAGTGCCATCAGGATTCCCATTCTCCTCGACATTCGATTTGATTGGAGAGCCCCTCATTGGTGATGGAATACGCGTATCAAGATCGTGAATTGGCGACTCAGGTACAACTTCTTCCATTAAATCTTCATCAAATGTTGGCTTCTTTTTCTTATTGGAAATCCGTTTCACCATTTATTCAACTATTTGCTTTTTTGAAGTTGGGGACACTAGTGTTGGAATTTTATGAAAGACAACTCCCTTGCGATTGATTTGTGGATTATGAGTAATCTTCGAAGCACCTTTGGGAGAAAAACTACTTGACCGTTCTAGTGAGTGATGTGGCATGTGACCTATTTTCTTCAAGCGTTTTAGAATACCAGATTTCGAAGGCATGGTCTCCTTCGCAATGGTAGAAGTTTCTTCCAAGATAGGCTTAACAATCTTTGTTGGAGGTGGATCGGACTTAACAATTTTCTTGGGAGTAGGCTTTTCAACTTTCTCAACTTGTTCAGGGCTAGGTTTCGAAGGAGTAGCCTTAACATCCTTCTTCGATCCTCTTCACTTCCTCGAAGGACCTCTAACATTCTTAGGCAACAAAACTACGATTTTAAGCGAAGGATTAATAGTTTTCAAGTAAGCCACCATTTAGGAACAACTTTCCATTTTCGAACCGAGGGATTCGAATATTTGGATGATGAACTTCCATTAGGCGACGCATTCAAATATCCTTCATATGCAATCTTGATTTCTTCTTATGAAAACCTCTCGGTTTGATAAACTTTTCCTTTCCCTTCCATCCAGTGATTGATGTTTCTGACATCATTTGTTCCTTTTGAAAATGAAACATTACTTGTCTTTTTCGAAGATGGATTGGGAAAATGTGGTTGTGTGGGTTGAAGTGTAACATTTTTTTTTGAATTTACATTTAATTTTTGAAAATGTGGTTTTGGAAAACTAGATTTGACTTGTGAATGAAAACGAGTTTGAAAACGTTTTTGATTACCAACATTTGATTGATGAAATTCTTGTGGAACTTTCGAAAATCGTCTTTGGTTTGAAAATTGAGAAAAGGTCCTTTGTTCATTTGGTTGGAACCCATTTCTTTGATGAAAAACATTCTTTTGTTGATTAAAAAATCTTTGTTCATTTTGTGAAAACCTTCTGTTTTGTGAATAATGAACAAAATTCTTTGACATTTGATGTTGAACAAAATTTTCTTTGTTTAATTTTTGAAAATTTTGTTTTGAATTTGGTGCCGAAACTTGTGGTTGTCTATTTGGAAAAACTTTTTGATTTTGAACAATTGTTTTCTTAACAAAAGATGTGTTTTGAGAATTCGTCTGAACTGCTTTAGACTCTTTCTTTTCAGGCGATTTATTTAACAAAACATTTTGTGTCTTTTTAGACTCCATATTTTGCCAATAAACTTTATTTCTTGCTTTTCACTTTGAAATCCCATTTTCTTTTGAAACCTTTTCGACTTGATCTTTGAAACATTGATGATTTATTTTGGATTTTTGAGAAATAACATGATTTTCTTGTTTTTCCACTTTTGAATTTTCAGTTTTAACAACCCATTTTCTTTGTGATATTTGTCTTTGAAAAATGGATGAGTTCTTGGTGAGGTTATTTTCCACAGTACTTTGATTAGAGTAAAATCATTCTTGTCAAACGTTCTTGTTACCCTATTCAACAATTTTGTTGATTACAAGTATAACTTTATCACCATTTTTTGAGGTAACAAACACCTGATTTGGGAAGACAACTTCATCTGAACATTTGAAGTTAGGATACACAACCGTATTTGGTTCAAGAAAATGAGAACCCTTTTCTTTCATGATTTTGTTGAATTTCTCGGTATCCTCGTACACTTGATCAACAACAACTTGGTGAATGGTTGTTTCTTTCGAAATATCATCATTATCTTCGTCACTATCTGTCTGATTACCTTCAACAGTCACATGGTCATGATCTTGAACTTTCAAAGTCGAAGGTTGGTCAGTGTCAACTTTAACTAAATAATCATTGCATTTTCTTTAACCTTCGCTAAAGAAGTGACATTAATGACAGATACCTGAGAAAATTCAACAATTTCCTCTATCTCAATTTCACTCATATCATCATAATCATCTTCGATATCAGCAAGATTGTTTTGAGATTCTAATGTTGAATTCTCAGTTCTTTTCAAAAATTTGATTTGTTCGTTTTTTAGTCAAGGTCTCATTGGCAATTGAAACTAACTCATTTGTATCAAAACATTCATTAATTTTCACTATACCATAAGCATAAGAAACATTTGGGACTTTGTCATATTATGATATTTTCTTTTCACAGTCATAGGAAGTCGAATCTATTTTCTCCCTTTTGAAAGCTAAAAAGGGTAAAAGTTTTGTATGCTGTTCTTTGTTAATATCCGATGAATGATGTAAAGCAGTTAAATTTGCATACAACCTCTTAGCAATATTACAATAAATGTTTCGTTGTTTATGCAAATCTTTATTTTCAGATCTTAGACTATCTTTATCACACATTAGATTCGTCAATTGTAAGTCTAACTTATCTATAAAAGATTTATTAGTCTCCAAAATCCTATGTGTCTCTAGCAGTTGAATACTGGTCTTTTTAGCATCATTACTAGCAGAGTTAAACAAATCATTAACATAAGTAATTGCATCATCAAACTTAGATAAAATCGAATTGTAAGCATTAGAAGGAATGTTAAAGGATTGTAAAAGAGAACGTACCTACAAAGTCATGGGTAACTTGTGAGTAGATGTTGAAACAAAGCACTTCCCAGTGACTTTCTCTTATTCCGCTTCCTCATACTTTGCAAACATAGCCCCATGTGTAGGATTTCACATTTCTTCATCATCAGAACCTGATGACCAGATTTGGTAGGTCCCTTCTTCTTCATCCATACCTCTTGCTACAAGTGACATCCCTTTTGCTGTTGCTCTTACCTCCTCTAATCTTTCCACATAATATGCTTCATCTTTGACCCTGTTCTTCTTTTCATCCCTTTTTCACAACATGCAATCGTTGGCCATATGATTTGCTCCATTACAGTAATGACAATCGAATCTAGAGTCACCTTTAAGCTTTTTCTCCATTTTTGCATCTTCAGGCTTGATCTCCTTATTTCCTACTTTCTTCTCTTCACTTGCTGATTTTCCAGCAGAACTTCCTTTCGCATCACTTCCTTCCGAATTCTCCTTCTCAGCTATTTCTTTTTCAGCTTCTCTTCCAGCAACCTTCGAAATAAGAGAAACTAGACCACCAAGACTGATATTTGATTCTTCAACAATTTCATTCACTTTGGATTCATGTGCTTTTAACACATTGTAAAGATCATTCAAAGAGAAATAATCGAAACTTTGATGTGTCTTTATCATAAGACTGACATTTCTCCATTCTTTTTGAAGACCCATGATAAAAGTGAAATTGAACTCCATTGTCGACCTTATTACTCCATTGTCGACCTTATTAAAAAGGGACACAAACAAACATTCATATTACCACCAAAGGTCTAAAAAACAAGCCTAACAAACTTTTAGGATCCAGAGTTTTCCAAACTTCAAAGAAACAAGACCAAAAGGGACCAAATAATGCTAAAAACTTATATGGAATATATTACGATAAAGCTTGGAACATGATCACTTAAAAAGGTCTAGAGAATGATGAGAAAGATGAATCTTCAATGGATCTTGCTTCCTTGCACTCAAAACTAACTCTTCATCTTCTTCAAAATCCATTCAAAAACACCAAAACCTCAACAAAGGAGGAAGCAGGCCACTCTAGGGTTTCTGGAAAGGATGAAGGCTGGTAAGATGTAAACCCTAGACGTTAAATCCCTTAAATAGTGTCCAAGTCCAAAGACCTTGGATTTTGAGATGTTTTCAATGCCATGTGTATACATTGTACCTCATTTAGGCATGCATGATGTCTAACTGTCCACATGGCACCCACACGCCGTGTATAAAGACTTCATGCATCGCGTAAACCTAAATTCTTTTTTCCTTAAAGCTTAATAAAATGCAATTAGAGACATACCCAAGAATAGGCATTATAAATATCCCCTACTTATATAGATTTCGTCCCTAAAATTTGCATTCACAAATAACTCTAGATAGTGCTCGAGCATCTCCTGTTCGGGCTCCCAAGTCAACTCGGAATCCTTTTGTTGCTTCCACTGCACCTTCATTAACCAAATTACCTTGTTGTGTGAGGTCTTCGTGTTCCTCTCAAAAATTGGAGCTAGCCACTCAACATAGTTCAAATGCTGATCCACCTGAATATCCTTTGATGGTACTATTGCCATCTCATCTTTTAAACACTTCTATAACTGAGAAACATGAAAAGTGTTATGGATCTGATTGATCTCCTCTAGCAACTCAAGATGATAAGTAACTCTACCAACACACATGACTAACCGATAGGGTCAAGTATACCTCACGATCAACTTGCCCATCTTTTGGAACCGGATGACACCTTTCCAAGGAGACACATTCAGAAGAACATAATCCTTAACCTAGAACTCCAAATCATACTTACGCCGATATGCATAAATCTTCTACCGACTCTGAGGAATCAATAATCACTCTCTGACCCTCTGAATAAGCGTGGTAGTCTTGAGCATAATATCAATGTTCCCTAAAACATGTTGACCCACCTCTCCTCAACAAATCAGAGTCCTATAATTTCTCCCATATAACACCTCAAAAGGAGGCAAACCAATACTTGATTTGTAACTATTTTTCTAGGAGAACTTGGCTAAAGGAAGTTATGAATCTGACGCTCCACCAAAATCTATAACACAAGCCCACAATATATCCTCTAAAGTCTGAATTGTCCTCTAATTATGACCATCAGTTTGAGGATGATGCGTCATGCTAAAATGCAACTGAGTGATCAAATCCCCATGAAATCATTCTGAGTGGCTAAGAATCATTCATTCATTCTCAATTTTTTTATTTTTATTTTTCTCAATTTAACTTACCTCTCTCTCTCTCTCTCTCTCTATATATATATATATATATATATATATATATATATATATATATATATATATATATATATATATATATATAGAGGTTTCTCTTATTTCATAATTATAAAATGATATAAGATTATTATCATTTTCAGGAAAAATCTATATTTTCAAACGAATTTAATAATAATAATAAAAAGAAACAAAAACCTTAAAACTTATATTTTTATTATATCTTTTCTCTAAAACGTGTAAAATATAATTCGGTGGCATATGTAGCACATACTAAAAACTCATAACTACAACAATAGAAATGATGACGACAGAAATGAAAAACAAAGTTGGGCAAAACTAAATGTTGTAGTGTCGACGGATGGAAGGAAGTAAAACGGAAATCGCCGGTTGTAAGGAATGGGGGATACAAAAGTGATGACTCTTCTATAATCTCATTCTACGTGCATAATCTTCCTGGTGACGCATGCAAGAAGGAGTTGTGGGGACCGTGTGCGAGGTTTGGTAGATTGGTGGACATCTACCTAGGGGGAAGGAGAGATGCCTCAGGTTCCTTTTTTGCTTTTGTTCATTATGAGAAGGAAAAGGAATATGACCAGATTTTGAAAGGGTTGAATGGGGTTGTGTTGAGGGGTAGGAGGCTGGTGGCTAACCTCTCAATGCATCCGCGTAATCAGGGGAGCAAGAACAGTGATGGTGGCCAAAAGACGAGGGTCCATAATTGGATTCCATCTTTGAGGAACCGTAGTCTTTTGGCTACTAGGGACTCCAGATCTTTTGCAGAGGTAATTAAAGGTAATACGGCAACTGGGGAGATGCATGGGGGGTTGCCAGCGATTGCTCTCAAGAGTATTCAGGAAGTCGTGCTTTGGGCTAGTGAAGCCTTGCTGATTGGTGAAATACGTAACTTTGATACCTTTTGTAACTCTCCATCTCTTTTCAAACTTGAGGGGTATGATATACTTGAGATCAAGTATCTGGGAGGCATGCAAGTGTTCATCAAGTTCAAATCGGATCAGGCTGCGAAAGTGTTCATGGCCAATAGGAATATTTGGCTGAAGTGGTTCTCTTGGGTGGAAAAAGCGGGTAGGCGAGGTGAAAGATTCGAGCGTATTGCTTGGATAAAAATTGTTGGTGTCCCCCTTATGGCATGGGATGAGAAGAATATCGAAGTTATTGCCGGTAATTTTGGGAAGGTATTAGTTAACGTTTGTCCGTTTTGGGAGAGTAATGACATATCTCATGGTAAGATATGTATTCTTACGTCCATTAGGACTAAGATTAATAGCGAGTTGAAGGTTATGGTGGGCGGATCTCAGCTGAGCATCGGGGTTTATGAGGTGGATGATGAATGGTTTCCATTCAAGCATTTTATGTCAAATTTCACTGAGGATTCTGGGGGAGATGGCTAAGAGAGTGAAGGAGTATCAGATACTTGGAATCAGGATGGTATGGATTTAGAAGAAGGTGAGTTTGTTCCTAACGACGGCGACGGGATGGGGCAGAACTCCGGTTTGTTTCGAATGGAGATCGGTAGGGGTGAAGATGATCGGTCACACGAAGTTGAAGTTGATCGGTCACATGAGGATCAATCGTCTCATGGGAACATGTATTCGACAGGTGGTATTTCCAATGAGGTGGGAACTGAGAAAGATGGAGATGCCAACGTTTCTTCTCCCGTGGGCCTTGTTGGGAGGTATAGTGAAGGTTTAAAGTCTGGTCCAGATGGGCTTCCTGGTAGCCCATTAATTATTCAATCAAGTGGGAGCCCAACTTTTGAATTAGGCAAGTCGGTTCTCAAAAGGCATAAAACAAAGAAAAAGAAATCAAAAAATCATGGTTGCAATCCTACTTCTCCTTCCCCAAATTCATCTGATCGTATCAGTTTGGACCTAAATCGTTCTTTCTCTGGCCCTGCTAATTCCTTGAATGATAGTATTGGGTCATCGTCAAACGGGGAAGAGTCATCCTCATCGCATGAGTTGCAGAGCACTATTGAAATCGGTAGGCTTGTTGGCTTTCAACTGGGGGCTGAAACAGGAGCAAGTCAGGATGCTCTCCTTGGTGGTGGTGATATGAAGATGTCTAGATGAATCTTTTATCTTTAAACATTAGGGGTCTACGGGACTCTCACAAGTTTGGTTGGCTCAGTCGTCTTAGGAGGGATCAAAAATTTTCCTTTTGTGGTATTCAGGAGTCTAGGCTTGATACCTTGCCTTTGTTCATTGGCGACTGGTGGGGAGGTGGTAATGTCGGTATTGAGTTCGTAAAATCTGAAGGAAGATCTGGCGGTTTGGTTAGTTTCTGGGATAAAGATTGTTTTCATGTAATTCACTGCATCAAGTCTCGGTATTTTCTTGCTGTTGTGGGGTTATGGAGTGGTGTAGTGGGGGAAACAATCTTAGTTAACGTTTATGCTCCTCAGGCTCCTGGTGAGAAAAAGATGCTTTGGAATAATCTGGTCGATCTGATGAGTTCTAGACAAGGAAATTGGGTCTTTTTTTTGGTGATTTTAATGCTGTAAGAAATCCGGAGGAGAGGTTTAATTCCCTTTTTTGCCCTAATATCGCAGCTACTTTTAACAAATTCATCTTGGATGCTAGTTTAATTGACTTAAACATGGGAGGCAGAAAATTCACTTTCTTCTGCGAGGATGGTTGTAAATTAAGCAAACTGGATCGCTTTCTTGTCTGCCCTAATATCTTGGCGGTCTTTCCCTATGCTGTTGTTCTTGCGTTGCCGAGGGAACACTCGGATCACTGTCCAGTTCTTCTTCGAACTTGTTTCTTGGATTTTGGCCCCCCCCCCCTTTTCGATTTTCTAAGTCGTGGTTATTAAGGGATGGCTTCGATCATCTTGTCATTGAGGCTTGGAATAAGTTCATTGGGGGAGGTCCTCCGGATCGATATCTCTCTGATAAACTTAGGTTTGTTAAGAGTTGTATCAAAAATTGGAGGCGTGTTGAATATGAAAAAGAAAATAAGTCCCTGTTGGACTTGAGAGCTAGAGTTGATCAGTTGGAGCTTGAGGCTGAAGATAGGCTTCTATTAGAACTCGAAATTGTGGAAAGGAAGGAAAAAAAGCAGCGAATCTTGGAGGCGGAAAAGCTTGCTAAATTGGACCTGATCCAGAAATCAAGGATCACCTGGCTTGTTGATGGGGATGAGAATTCTCGGTTTTTTCATAACTCAATCAAATATAAAAATAGAAGATGTAATATTAATGGGTTAATGATCAATGGGGAATGGACCACTGACATAAATGTCATAAAGCAGGAGACGCAAGTTTTTTTTGCCTCTAAATTCCGTGAGAATTGCCATCGTCGCCCTCTTTTGATTAATGAGAATTTCAAGGTTTTATGTAACGACCGAAAAATGCAACGAATTTTAAATTTTCAAAAACAACCCGATTTCATTAAATTGTTTACAAAAATGTTTTCAATACAAATCGTTTAGAGTATTCCCAGAATCACATTACTACAAAATCATGAGGAGCGGTACGATCACGCCTTTGCCTTGCTACTGCTCCCTGAAGACCCTGAAAAACATTAAACCACATATACGCCCTTCCAGGCTACGACCTTCCGGTCCAAAACATATTGCCTTCCGGCCCATAACATATAAAACATACACAACATAACAGAACATAGAACAGCCATGCATATCGGGTCTACTGTGTGACTGGTTCGCCGTATCGGGCCTTCAGTCCACCAGATCCATCCTCCAGGTCTAGTCATGTCCTTCGAGTCTACAGTGGGGTTGGTCCGCCCACACCGGGCCTTCAACCCACCTGGTCCACTCTCTGAGTCTACAGTGTGACTGGTCCGCCCGCATCGGGCCTTCAGTCGGCCTGGTCCACTCTCCGAGCCTCGGCACGTCTGGTCCGCCCTCGTGGGACCTACAGCCTATCCGGACCGCTCGCTGGGCCTTCGGAATAACCGGTCCGCCCTGGGTATCTTGGCCTACAGCACAAAGCAGGACCCGCCTCACCCCATCTCCAGTCCAAACAACCATGTGCACATAACATACAATCATATAACAATCATAGTCAACAAACCGAGCAAGCAGATCACATAGCATATCATTACCATAACCAGGTTACCGACCTAACCGGTTACTAGCATATCATCACTCTATATAGCGGGAAACTGACCTTAACAAGGTCTCCAGCATGTACCATCCTAGCTACCAGGATGCAGACACATCAAACAATAACATAATAACCATATCCGAATCTCAATCCAATAAAGGGCCAGCCTTGGTGCCTCAGACCCTGTTGATATAGTGAGGATAACTCACCTCGAAACTGCCGGCTAAAAGCATAAGATCTCGCTGCTCCGAACTCTGACACGAACTCCTCCACTGAACATCAAAGCATTCAACTCAATATATATATACCCTTATTTACCAAAATACCCCTGGAAGACAACTGATCAACCCCTGATTGACTCTACTCGCCGAGTCAACTCGATGACTCGCCGCGTCCCCAAGCTCAGAACTTCCCTCAATCCGCGACCTGACTCGCCGAGTCACCCCGAGACTCGCCGAGTCCAACCACTCTGAGTCCACTCGCACCCAACTCACCGAGTCATCCCTTGACTCACCGATTCATCGACTCAACCAGAAAATATTGGGACTCTTCCACAAGACTCGCCGAGTCCAAGAACAGACTCGCCGAGTCTAAGGCTATCTTCAACCTACTCGCCGAGTTGTTCTTCCAACTCGCCGAGTTCTAGGCTATCTTTAAGCAACTCGTCGAGTCCACCCTTGTGACTCGTCGAGTACCACCGGTCTGAATCCATACAGAAGCATCTCAGGCCATGCAATTGATCCAAAACATAGATCTAGCCTCCTACAACCCATCCATCACGTAAAGTGGCAAACTTTACGTGAATCCATGAAGATCTAAGCATTATACACATTAGGGCTAAGGTTTGGGACAAGATAGCTTCACTACATACTCAATCACAGGGACTTTCAGGCATTCTAACCCTTCTCCATTCCAGATCTGAGGTAGCAGCCTCAGATCTAACCTCTAGACTTCAAAACACCAAAAGATGTGATCTCATCATCCCCAAAAGTGAAGAATATAGACAATAGTAGCTCAAGAACGAGATTTTACCTTCAAAGGATGCCCCAATCTGCAAGGAACTCGAAACCAAGCAAAGCCCCTTGCTCCACACCTTCAAACTTCCAAACTTTCTTCAACAATTACTTATCCAAGCTTCAATCCACTCAACAATGGTGCTTCTCCACGATTTTAGGGTTTCTGGGACTAAAGGGGGGTGATTAAGAGGCTGGGGAGGAAACATAATGCTCTTTATATAGGGCTCAACCCCGAGAATTAGGGTTTTCTCCACACAGCACCTACTCGCCGAGTCCATCTTTGGACTCGCCGAGTAGGCTACTTGATACGCGACCAAAGTCGCGACCTGACTCGCCGAGTCGCCCTCCGAAACTTACACTTTTAGCCCTTCAACTCTACTCTTGCGATTCCGGGATGTTACAATTCTCCCCCACTTAAATTAGGCATCATCCTCGAAGCCTACGACATCTCATCTTCAAATTACTTCCCACGACACGCCACCTGACCTTAATCGGACCAGGTTCCTCATGGCACAACCATAGAAACCAAAAACTTACTTTCTCCTTTCATACGGTGTCCCATCCACCTACTCAAACCGGGCACCTGCTGTACCCTCCGTTAACCGCACTCAACAATCAAGAATTACCCCTAATCCATTACTGCTTCAAATCACAACCATCACTCGACCAATAAAAGCTAGGAGTTAATCATGCACCACCCGATTCCCGATCCGAGTCCAACTCTATCCATTCCAGGCTGACAGAAGGACACACTCTTCAGAGCAACTCCCATGAGTTCTCTTCTTGCAATAGCATGCACATGCTGAACTAGCTCTAGCACCCTCGGGTTAGGAAACCCATCACTCCGACGGTCCTCCAAAACATCCCTTAGGATGAACCACTGATACACAAATCCTTCCCGAAATCAAATTGGGAACCCAAAACTCAATATCTGCATCCCTTACGAGCCTCTTGACTTTACAGCCTCGGAAATCCCTTCTGCAACCCCGGCAGGCATCCCCTCATGATGTCATCCCATGCCGTCGCCGCACATGCTGCTCAATGACCACCGTCGGACCACCCCGATCATAACTCTACACTGCCGCTTTCACTTCCGTGAGTTTGCACTTCCTTTCGGAATTCCATTCCTCCCTCTTTCCTTACCATGGAAACCACTCGACCGCCTTGTCACCACGACAAGTACCACGGTGCTCACCCCACGCTACACCATCTCCTTAAAGCACACCCGACATCCATACATCACCACTACTCTGACTCTCACCGCAGGGACTCTCAAGTCCATGCACTACCTTTACTGCTCAAGATCG